GGAAGGCGTTTTATAAACTAAGGTGTCAGAAGTGTAAGGTGGCACTGCCATTACTTTACTCTCTGGGGTGATTCCTCCTCCTTTTCAGAGCGCGCTCCCTGCTCTCTTGCTGGCTCTCCACAGCCCGGGCACCCACTGGCGCCCCCAGCATTCCTACCAGCCCTCCTCACATCAGGCCTCTCCCCGCCGTGGGGTCCCTTTCTGAGAACAGAGATGACAAGCGGATTTCAGTTGCGTTCGTCCAATGACTGGTCATAGAGAAGCCTGAAGCCCCGTGTGGGTTCCGCGGAAACAGCGCTGGAAGTGACCTGCGAGCTCTGCCACGTGTCAGGCAGAGCCGCCTGGGTGCCAGCCCTCCGCTGAGGGTGAGGCTGCTGTTGCACCTCTGCCCAGGAGAGCCCAGCCCGGTGGCACCAGGAGGCGCTCCTCTCGGCTGGGGGAGCTTGCCCACTCTCACACCAGGCGGGGAGGGCGCCTTTCTCAAAGCACCCGCCTTGGTCTCTCGTCCTTAATTGGGATGCAACTGTTTTCCGCTTTCACAAGCTCGAAGTACTCAGCTTGGAGGAGCAAAAGCAAGGCTGAGTGGGCTGGGCCCTACCTGTGCCACAGGAGGGACCGCACTAGGCTCCTTTCGCAGGTGAGGGGACTTGAAGGGCAGAAAAGAGTAACAAGGCAAGGTTACTCACCTATGGAGTTAGAGCCCAACTCCAGGCTCTTCCAAATCATCTCTCTCTAAACAGTCAATCACCCTTTTCCGGAAAGGGTTGACTTCTCTCAAGTTCTCGTTACTTCATCAATCCTAGAAAGTCACTGGTCCGAGGACACATCCTGATTTTCAAAGCCAATGCAAAACCCAAACTCTGAAAACAGGCCGGGGTCATTAATATCACCAAATTGTACAATTAAAAACGGTTAAAATGGCGAATTTTATGTTGCACATGTTTTACCACTGCCTTAAAAATTAACAGAGTAATATACCAAAACCGCTGAACTGTACACTTTAAACAGGTGAGCTGTACGGTGAGTTATATCTGAAGAAAGCTGTTGGGTGGAGGGAGGGCAGGGAGGTGTCTGTGTTGGTCACTGTCATGTACCTAGCAAGTGCCAGGCCAGAAGGTGTGGGGTCTGCTTGCGAACAGAGTCCCCTCTGCTCCCCTCGCGGGACTGTGCCTCTTCCCAGGCCTGGCTGAGTGGCAGCTCGCTCCCTGCTCTGCACATGAACCTGATGGACAGAATGAGCTGCGTGGCACACTGGCCCGCACGCAGTCTCTCAGCCCCGGAGCAGTTCCAGGGTGGGATCCTCGGTGACATGAGGTCTAGAGCTGGGTCGGGGAGATCTCCTCTGGCTCTCAAGACAACCAGCTCTGGGGCCCTGAGCACAATCATCTGGTCAAGTCTCTGTCTCCAACGGAGCCAGGCAGGCGCCGGCAGGAGTGCCAGCTCGCCTAGAAGGCTCTCCTCCCACTGCCACAGGCCACCACCCGTGGCACCAGCCCGCTCAGGAGAGCAGACCTGGTGAGGAGGCAGGACAAGGACATACCTGCGACAGTAACTGTAACGGCAGCAGCGCACTGGGCTCCCTCCCTCTTCCACTGCAGCCCCCCCGCCCCCCGACCCGGGGTGGCTCAGCCCTGAGTCCAGAGACGACTGCCATCAGTTCCTCTCCCTGTCTGCCTGCCATCCCTCCCAGAAGGGACTCTAGTCGGCCGCCTGGAACCTGGGCTGACCTGTGCCTGCTGTGATCACTAAAGCCTGGCGGAGCGATGCCGCGTCCCCGCCCAGCTTCAGGGGGCCTGCCCGGCGCTGTCATGAAGTCCAGCTACTCGGCTCTGGAGGGCACGTGGGGGAGCGCCGATAGCCCGTGCGGGGCTGAGGAGGCCACTGGACACCCAGGCCGGTGGAGTCTGCAGAAGACCCCAGGCAGACACTCCCGACTGCAACCCCACGCGAGGCTCCAGGTGAAAACTGCCCGGCTGAGCACAGTCAACCCACACAACTGCCCAAGAAGAAAGACACCGTTGCTTCAATCAACTGCTGTAGAGCAGCTGACAACGGAAACCCTCCTGTGGTCCGGCGCAACCCAGGGCCCAGGGAGCTCGCCCAGACACATAAGTTGAGTCAGGCCACCCTCCCATTCTAGCCTGTGGTGAGCTACTGTCCCCTTCTCTATAAATGTGCGTACACGTGCGTGTGGTATGCGTGTGTGTGCAGCGTTACCAAGATATAATTCGGGTACCACACAACGTACAATTCATGCTTTTAAAGCACAGCTAACCTCTGACCAATGGGGGATTCGGGGCGCTGACCTCCCATGCAGTTGAAAATCCGTGTATAACTTTTGACTCCCCCAAACTCAGTTGTCCCTCAGTGCCCACGATCCTTAAGTCCCCGATATAAAATGGCATAGATCAATGCATACGGCCAGCCCTCCGTATCCGCGGACCCCCAACCAGAGCACAAACAGTACAGGTATTTCCTGAAAAAGATCCCTGTGTAGGTAGACACGCACAGTTCCAAACCATATTAAGAGTGACTGAAGACAGTTCAATCGTTTCTAATACATTCAGAGTTGTGTAACCATCACAATTTTAGAACATTTTCACTTGAAACGAACCCCCATTTCCTTTCTGTGTATGGATCTGCCTCTCTGGGTGTTTCCTGTAAATGAAACCGTACACCATGCGGCCTTTTGTGTCTGGCTTCTTTCACAGAGCGTGAGGTTTTTAAGGTTCACCTATGCTGTGGCAGTTATCAGCACCTCATTCCTTTCCGTAGCCGAATAATATTCCGTGGTACTTCATCCATTCGTCAGCGGGCAGACGCTGGTTAGAGCTACCTTCTGACTACCATGAATAACGCCGCGATAAACGTGCGTGCAAGTTCTTGTGTAGCTGCATGTGTTCATTTCTCCTGGGTACATCCCTAGGAGTGGCACTGCCCTGTCATACGGTGACTTTGTTTAACCTCTTGAGGAACTACCAGACTGTTTCCCAAAGTGCCCGCACCATTCCGCACCCCCACCAGCAGCATGGGGTTCTGACGTCTCCACATCCTCGCCAACCCTTCTCGCAGTCGTATTTTTATTACAGCCACATCCTGCCCCCGGTGAAGCAGGACCTCACTGAGATTTTGATCTGTATTTTCTGACGACTCACGGTGCCAAGCCCTACTCCCTGTGCTATTTGTCTATTTCTGGAGAAATGTCTATTCAGATCCTTTGTCCATTTTTAATGTTGGTTATTTGTATTTTTATTATTGAGACATAAGAGTCCTTTATATTTTATAACTCCAAGTCTCTGATCGGCTTATGGCAGCGGTTCTCAACCTTCTGGCCCTTTAAATACAGTTCCAACCATAAAATTATTTTCGTTGCTGCTTCATAACTGTAATGTTGCCACTGTTATGAATCGTAATGTAAATATCTGATATGCAGGATGGTCTTAGGCGACCCCTGTAAAAGGGTCGTTTGACCACCAAAGGGGTCGCGACCCACAGGTTGAGAACCGCTGGCTTATGGTCTGCAAGCATTTGAAAACGCTGTGCTGCTCACTCCCTCCCTTTAGGACTCTGCTCAGAGGCCACCTTCTCAGAGAGGCCTTCCCCAACCATCTGATTAAAACTCCACTTTCCCCCATCACTCTCTACCCTCATCCTGCTTTATCTGTTCTTACCAGCACTTACTATAACGTGGCAGTGTATTAGACACCTATTTGCCTATACTCTCGCCCTGTTAGGATCACAGTTCCACAAGAAGCGCTGTCTGTCACCTATGTTACTCTCCCTAAATGTCCCAACAGTGCCAGGAATGTTGTAGGGACTCAACACATACTTATTAAATTAAATACATCTACTACTATGTATTGAATGCTTACTAAGAGCCAAACATTCTGCCAATCACCTCAAATAAAACATCTTATTTAATCCCTACAACTCTCTATGCTATGAGGTAGGTACTATCATTACTCCACTTTTCTAACAGATGAGGAAACTGAAATTGAGGGAGTTTAAGTAACTGATCCATGGTCCCGCACACAGGAAGTGGCAGAGCTAAAAGTTTAGCTGGGTTTCATCCCAGACAGTCTTAAGCCAGGGGTGGGCAAACTTTTTGACTCGAGGGCCACAATGGGTTCTTAAACTGGACCAGAGGGCCGGAACAAAAGCATGGATGGAGTGTTTGTGTGAACTAATATAAATTCAAAGTAAACATCATTACATAAAAGGGTACGGTCTTTTTTTTTTTTTTAGTTTTTTTCATTTTAAACGGGCCGGATCTGGCCCGCGGGCCGTAGTTTGCCCACGGCTGGTCTAAGCTGTACCACTCCTGTGCTCACTCACTCAGGCAAGTCACCTTCTGTCCCCCGAGCCTCAGTCTCATCTGTGACATGGGAGTCGCCTCCTACCTTACACGTTTACTGGGAGACAGGCCAGGTGAGGTCAGGGACACTGAGACCGGTGCTTGGCACCTAAGGAGTGTCCAGTGGGCGGGAGGCACACCCATGACGAGGACCGTGCCGATCACAGTGATGAGATGATGCTGATGCTGTGAAATCAATGCTTTGAAGTCAAATAACGTGATATTGTTGCCTTTTCACCCTGTGTGCAGACTGCTTTCTTTTAGACCATGACTCTACCCTCGCAGACGGGGGACCAGCCACTGGGCCACACAAGGGTGTCAGAGTTGGTCACAGGGGATAAAGGGTGTCCTGACCCTTCAGAGGAAGGAGATGCTTAGACAACATCCCGGACTTTCAAAGAACCTGACAAGAGGACAAGAGGTCTCTGAGAAGATGGACCTCCTGGCCTGTTAGAGACAGAGATTTGGGCCTAATCCAGGGCGATGCTCTTGGGGGGCAAAGTCACACCTGCCCAGCCACCCCCACTCGCAGGTCCCCAGGAGATGACGGGATATCGCCTTGCTGAAGGGGTGCGGCCGAGATGCGTCCCATCCGTGTGCTACCACACTGTGGAGGAGCTGGAGAATGGGATCGAAGCCGACTCACCTGTATGGGTCTGCCTGTGTGTCTCCAGGGCATCCTCCTTCGAGAACTGGGCACCGCACTGATCGCAGACGAAGGCTTTGGCGCCCGCTGAAAGAAAGGGGAGGTGGTTACTAACTTCCCAGAGTGACATTCCATTAGGAGGCGGGGTCCTGGGCCCAAACCGTGCAGGTGGACCTGGGGCAGGGGGTGAACACCTGTGACGTGTCAGGGAGAAGCCAAGGCCCCAGCAGCCAGCCCAGCTCAGCCCTCCTTCTAGGGGTAACCACCACCCACATGAACTCCAAATGCCCCGTCCAGGGCCCTCCCAGCGAGAAGAGGGAACCAAGACAAACAGAGACGGGCTCCCGATGAGACGCCTGGTGAGAAGGGACTTCGGGGGCTGCTCCAGGTGCGGGATGGGAAGGAGTGAGTGATGCGTGCTCTGCTGCCTAGATTATGCTTGAAGGAATTACTGACATACCTCTACTTGGATAAGCCCCTAAGTCCGTGTGTCCAAAACTAAACCACAGTTCCCCCCAGCCACCTCCTACAGCTGACCATTCAAAAACTGGAATGACTCCCTAGTGCCTTTTTTGTTTTGTTTTGTTTGTCTGTTATTCCTCACCGAGGACATCCTTTCCCTTGATTTTTTAGAGTGGAAGGCAAGGAAGGAGGGGGACAGAGAGCAACATCGATGTGAGAGAGATCCATCAATTGGTTGCCTCCCGCACACTCCCTGACCGGGGCCAGGATCGAATCCGAAACCCAGGTACGTGCCCCTGACTGGGAATCAAACCATGTGACCTTTCAGTGCCCGGGCCAGCGCTCTAACCACTGAGCAACCGGCCAAGGCACAAAGCGCTTCTCGGTGTGCTTAGCAGCTTTCCTGCTTTGTCTCTGCTTCCTCACTCCTGCTCTCCAGGCTCCAGCCCTGTGAGGAGCTGCTCTGGCTGCGGGAGGAGCCGCGTCCTCCCTCACCACAAGGTCTCTGCACACCCTTCTGTACCTCCAGTCTCTGACAGTCTTGCCCCCTTGTCCTGGCCCCTCCGTACAGCTGGTCTCTACTCCTCATTTACGCATCAGCTTCCTTACCCTTGTCCCGCCGTCTGGGGGAGGGAGCCCTCCTTTCTGCTCCGACGCACCCCGTACGGTCCAGTTCACAGCCGCGCATGCTCCTTTACCAATGCCTGTGGGCCTGTCTGTCTCCATCTCCGGACACTTGGCTCCCGAGGGAGGGAGCAGGGCATCTGCTCCACCCCCAGTGGGACCTATGACTGTACATACTTGTGGAATAAACTAATCAATTCAGTGCAATTCAATTTGGTAAACATTTTTAGAACCACTATTCACAAGGCTCCAAGCGACAATGTCACAACGTCAAGTTAAACAGGACGACTTTTTACCGCTTACTCATCGTCTTCAAGATGTTATCTCATCCAGGGAGCACCTGTGTGAGCCCTGGCGGTTTTCTTTCAAATGTCTCCTGGATGCCTCTCTTCCTCCGCCTGTCCCTAATCACTGTCCCAACCAGGCCCTCGTGGGGCCGCGCCCAGGACACCGAAGAGTCGGGACGGCCGCCACACCACCAGCTGCCCTCGGAGCCAACCAGCAGACGCAGGCCCCTTGTGGGTCACGTGACTCCTCACACTTCCTTGCTCAAGAAGATACAGTGGCCCTCAGTGGTTCTCCATTCTGCTCCTCGGCTTCAAGGCCTCCGCAGGGGGCTGTCCTCACGGGCCCCTGTGCACCACTCGACCCTCCCTGAGTCTCTGGGCTTGAGTGATGCCTGGGCTCACTCCTCCTCTATTCCAAGCCCTTTCTATTTCAAAACTGGAGAAAGCACGCACCGAGCACCCCAGCCCTCGCTGCTCTGCCCTCCCCCACCGCTGCCTCTGCTCCTCCCTGAGGGTGCCTGTGCTTTCGTTTTCTATCAGCGCTCATAGAGGCAGAATGCTGTAGCAGAAACAATCCAGTGCGTTTTCAAAGCCTCTCAGATTTCCTGAGACTTTATCACACACCGCAGGATGCTAAGTCCTGAGGACATACCATTGCATTTGATCCTGAAACCCTTTTAAAGCGCTTACCATTCCTACCCGCCTTTAGCATGAGAACCTCAGGCTCGGGCAGGTTAAGCAGCTGGCCCAGGGTCCCACAGGAGCAGCGGAGGTGGAGCCAAAGCTGGCAGCCGATGTCAGAGCCTCTGCTCTGCAGCCCAGTGCCCTCCAGCCTCCTGGTTCCACCCGCAGAGATGCCTCCTGGGTAGGAGGGTGAGCTCTGGGCTGCCGTCTCTCAAATCAAAGAAGTGAAAATCCAACTTACCCCTTGAATGCATCAAGGTTTTGTGTAAAATTCTATTTGGAAAAAATGGTTCTACTGCTCTTTAAAAGTTTAAGGTATTAACACACCCTTAAGGGCTAGAACTCAGAATGTAGGTTGTAGCGTCAGTCTTCAATTAAACACCAATGACCAGTTCTCACCAGTGAAGGGGATAAGGAGCCCGAGAAGACGGGGACTGTCCAGCCCTACAGGGCACTGACGTTTAGTAAGTGCTCAACAAGTATTAGTTGACTGACAGAATGAACGCGTGATACAGTGCCCAGGAAAGATAGGAAAGAACTTCCCCTTAAGTGCTTTAAAAGCAAGCACTGCCATCTGTTCTAGGTGGCTGGAGCCGAGTTCCGCTGGAGGCAGGGAGAACAGCTGACCCCTCTGGGTTTCCCTTCAAGCTGGAGGGCATCCCTGGGCCCCAGGGCCTATGAGAGGCTTACAGAGCTTTGAAGAAAGCCAGGAAGCCTGACGTCCACACGGCCCCCCTGTGTCACAGAGGTAGCAGACATTGACCCTGGAGGTGCAGCGTGAGCCTCAGAGAGTAGACGGGCCAGAGCGGGAACACCGGGGAGGGGCGGCCCCGGCCCTTCACATAGAGAAGCTGCCCCGGCCCCAAATCGTTAGCCACGATGATTCTCCGTGGGTCTGTAAGGGATCTGGTTTTAATTGTATTTCTTTCTTTGGTTCTATCAGTTCTCATGGCTCCCTAGAGAAGGGGAAGGGGCCTGAGGAGGGAAGTGGGGACTAGAAAGAAAGGGCTCCCTGTGGGGCTGGGAAGCCCCAGGAAGCCAGAGCTCCGCTTCAAAGGGATGTGGTAGGAGGAGTTCCTAGAAGACAGCCCTGGATGTGGTGTCAGGGCGGCTTTAATGGCCGAGAGAAGGGAAGGAGGCAGGTGGGACATCAAGGGCCGGATGTGTGCGCCAGACAAGCGCAGAGGAAGACGGCGCATCAGCACTCGCTGCCGAGGCAGCCGCTGGCTGGGCTCAACCTGACCACAGCTGGTCGTCCTCCAAGCCCTTCCCCTCCAGGCCTGTCTGGCTGAAGTCACAAAATTGAGCCGAGGGTGTGCAAGTTCCTGTCCTCAGCCACTCGGTCAGAGCCTTCCTCACACATGGATGCCCTGGACATCAGCTCCCATTCATGGAGCCCAGCACACCCCACCCCAACGCCAGCTCCCCGCAGGGTAGCCCAATAGCTCAGGCAGGCAGTCCCAGGACACACAAGCCAGCAGAGACAGGCAGCAACCCCCTCTCCCAGGGGGACATGCACCTTTAAATTGTCTCTGTAACGGCTGGCTCAGAGGCAGAAATATTTGGCATCCCTGAAATTAAAAGTGATAAATTTCCTCGGCCAGCTCTGATCGATAATAGAGGCCTCATCTGTTAATCAATAAGACAGTCTCTGCCTGTTTACGGTGCACATGCCGTTCGCTGCTGCCTTCAGTATGATGTCAGGCTTGCATTCAGAGCAACTCGGGTGTCTGTGAACCACATGACGATTCCCAAAATGCATCCCGGTGACATCACTCAGCCACTCTTGCATGGACACAGCCTCACTGTGAGGGTGCCAGGGGAAGGGAGGGGGTCGTGCCCGCGCCACACAGCGGGTGCATTCACTCCCACAGCACTGCCTGGGGCTCCTCCTGGAGTGGGCGAACTCCCGGGCACGGCTCGGGGATGGCCACTCCTGGCCACATCCCCCCTATAAGCAGGGGATGTGTCTTGGGGTCCATGGAATATATGCCAAAGGGGAATTACAGTCATGAACAGAGACAAATCCCTGTCTGCAAGGAGCTTACATTCTAGAGAGGAAGGCACATTTACTTTTGTAAAGTAAAAGGAACAAAAATAGGTGGTGACAAGTGATAAAAAGAGAAATAAACTAAGTGAAGAGGGACCGAGGTGCCGGGGGTGCCACCTCACACGGCGTGGCCAGGGAAGACCGTGTGTGAGCTGATGGTGATGGAGAAGTGCAGGCAAGGGACTCGGACACATGCCACTGCGTGGGAAAGCCCATCGCAGGCACAGGCAGGGCGAGGGGGCCGCTGGAGGGAATGGAGCTGCTGGGAGAGTGAGCGACCGGGTGAAGTCAGGGATGGGCTGCAGAGAGAGAAATTAAACAGGAAGGAGGGAGAAGCACAGGATGAGGTGGGCTAGACCCCTGCTCTCCTCCCTGGCAATCGCAGAGCTTAGTGAATGAAAGGAGAAGACGGCAAGTTCTGGGTGGGAAGGGCTGGGTCCCAGGCCCGGCTCAGCCGTACTGCTGTGGACACCACACTGGTCATCACACTTCATGAACTAGCTCCGTCTGTAAGAGGGGATGGCCGTCCCTGCCCGCCCTGCTCGCAGCTGGTGTACGGATGGCAGGAGATCATGGACACGAGTAAACGCACCACGCGGTTCCTCCCAAGCACTCGCAGATGTAAGAGCCCGGTGTCATTTCTACCTCAGGAAGCAGCAGAGTCTGGCGAAGAGCTCGGATTCGGGTGAGACAGATCAGAGTTCAAATCCCAGCCAAGCTCATCACCAGTGTGAGCCTCAGCCAGGGCCCTCATCTCCACGGGCTGTCGCTTCACCTGGGATGTGGGAGCAGCAGGAATCAGCCCCAGAGGGCTGAGCGAGGTGGGAAAGGGCGGGCTGTCTGAGGGCAGATGCGCAGAGCCAGGAGCAGCAGCCCTTTTGCACCGCAGGGCGCAGGGCGCAGGGCGCAGGGCGCAGGGCTCCGGGAAGAACGCCGCTCTGCACGACTGTTCCACGGACACTCGATGTACCGTTATTTGG